GCCCGCGCCGGCCGCGGGGGCGGAGCGGCACCGGCCCGGCCCGGCCCGGGGGAGGCGGTGCCGGTGCCGGGGGCACACGGGGCCCGGGGGAGCCCGCAGCAACGGCACCCCACGCTCCCTGCCCGGCCGCACAGCGGCTACCGAACCACGGAGGCCTCGAGTCCCTGGAGCCCCGGGCCGAGGGTCTGGGCACGGTGGCTACCGAACCCCGGAGGCCTTGAGTCCCTGGAGCCTCAGGCTGAGTGTCCGGGCACGGTGGCTACCAAACCCCGGAGGCCTCGAGTCCCTGGAGCCCTGGGCTGAGGGTCTGGGCACAGTGGCTACCGAACCTCGGAGGCCTCGAGTCCCTGGAGCCCCGGGCCAAGGGTCTGGGCACGGTGGCTACCGAACCACGGAGGCCTCGAGTCCCTGGAGCCCTGGACCGAGGGTCCGGGCACGGTGGCTACCGGCTCCAGGAGGCCTCGAGTCCCAGGAGCCCTGGGCTGAGGGTCTAGGCACGGTGGCTACCGGCTCCAGGAGGCCTCAAGTCCCCGATGAGCCTCCAGCACATGGCCAAGGGTCCAGGCACGGTGGCTACCACCCCCCCCAGAGGCTTGGGATCCCTGAAGTCCCAGGCTGAGGGTCCAGGCACGGCTGCTACTGGCCCTGGGAGGCCTCAAGCCCTGTGTAGCCCTGGGCTGAAGGTCTTGGCACGGTGGCTACCGGCCCCAGGAGGGCTCAAATCCCTGCGAGCCCCTGGCACATGGCCAAAGGTTCCGGGCATGGTGGCTATTAGCCACCGGAGGCCTTGAGTCCTGGGGAGCCCCCAGGAGATGGCTGAGGGTCCCGAGGTGGGCTGGCGCCTGGTTCAAGGGCTGAGCAGCTCCAGGGCTCTTTCTGGGCAAGAGGAACCCCACGGGAAATTCCATCTCAACATGAGGACAAACCTCTTGACTTTGGGGGTGGCAGAGCCCTGGAACAGGCTGCCCAGAGGGGCTCTGGGGTCTCCTCTAGAGATGCTCCAAACCCCACCTGGATGCATTCCTGTTCAACCTGCTCTGGGTGACCCTGCTCTGGGGCACGGGGTTGGAGGAGATGGTCTCCAAAGGTCCCTTCAAACCCCAACCATTCTGTGATTCCTCCCAGCATCCTGGAGAAGGTCAAGCTTTGGGGACCTCCAAGGCCTGGCTCGGCGCAGCAGGGAAAAGGCAACCACCCTCAAAGCCTCCATGGCCCTGAGCTCTCCCCAGGAAGGACCACACACCAGTGGACCTGGGCACGGAGAAGCACGGTGGCTGCCCCACCAGCCTCCCAAAACCGACTAGACTTGGTTTAAAAACCGCAGCCGTGCGTCCTGCCTCTCTGAGCTCGGCAGCTCTGCGGTGGGGAGCCATGAGGGGACTCGCCAAGAGGTGGCACTGCATGGACTGAAATGGGTCAAACAAGACGGAGGCTGCGGAGAAGGGCGGTGGGAAGCCTGTTCTTAGCCCAAAATGGTTGGTTATGAGGAGCTTCTGGCCGGGTAGGGTTCCCCGGTTACTGGGACTGCAGTGCTGTCCCAGGGGGACGGGGGACATTATTGCAGGGGATCAGCAGAGACGGGGGTCAAACAAGAGAAGCGCGACGGGGACACGCGAACCCTGCGGCTTCCCTGGAAAGCGGCGAAACACTCGGAGCCCTGGGACAGAGCCAGGCAAACCCCTCAGTACCACCCCAAAAGCTGAACGTGCAAACAAACCACGTGCCAGTCCTCTAAAAATGGGAAATTACACCGAACGGTTTCTGATAGGGATGCTTTCTGGGTTTTGACGCAATTATTCCTCTGCATGTGCCTGTTCCCCTGCATTTGGGGAACTCTTTCAGAAACGTGCAACATTTTTTTCCCAGCTTTCTGTGAACGATGCTCAGAGCTGATTTACATGTAGCAGCGCAACACTGATCTCGGGCATAATACTCGAAAAGCTGATGTGGGATTCAGCTGGTAAAGAATTAAAGGATGGTAATGTAATTAATGCAATCGGCCCGGTTTCTGGAAAATAGCTCTTGTCAAACTCTGATGTCATCCTTTGAAGAGATTACAAGTTTGGCTGATAAAGGTTATGGCATAGAAATAATAGACCTGGACTCTGTTCAGGCATGTGACTTAATCCATATAGTATTCTGATTAAAAATTAGCACAATACAACATCAAGGGAGACACCTTAAAGGGGCTGGGAGCTGGCAAACCGGCAGCCATCAATGGGGAATCCCGGCAGAATGGGAGCGCTCTCAGTGGGTGTCCGGGGGCTGGATGGAGAAGCCCGATGCTATTCAGCACTCCCATCAATGGTCTAGAAATAGATTAAAAAGCCCTGCTGAGAAAAACGCCGGGGCCGGGGAAATGAGAGGGGCAGGAGACACGGACGAGGTCAAGGCAGCTGGTAGAAAAATTCATAAGCTGAGTCCCGGGCAAATCAAACGTGGTTGAATGTGAGCAGCGGCAAAAGGATCCCGCTGCCGAGCACGGGGGTCTTCTGCTGGAAACCTCCAGCAAGGACAGGCTCGGGGGGGGCTTAGGAGGCAGGAGGGACAGGGAGGGAGCAACAAGGTCCCCACGGGAGATGTCCTGGGCCGGGTGCAGCAGCAGAAGGGCTTCCAGCCTCCGCGTTTCAGAAAGGATGCTGAGAAATTAGAGAGGAGGAGTTAAAACTGACCCCTGCCTTGCAGGGGGATGCCTGAGAACCGCAGCCTCCTGCGCTAGTTCAAAGGAGCCCCAGAGACGCCGCGATTATGGCGCTTAAGCGACTTCATGGGTGAGAGAAGATCAGGTATTAGAGAGCTTTTCATCTCCCAGAGAAAGGCCCAGCAAGATTTCATGGCCCGAAATGAGTTCGCATGAGAAACTGGAGCCAGATTTCTTGGTGGCAATGGGGGGGGACTAAGGAGGTGACGAATTTGGGTGCACCAGGATGCAGGTGGCTGAAGTGCCGGGGCCTGGCGTGCCCCAGGGCTGATCACAGCTCCTCGGGGCCAGGCTGGACCTGGGGCAGCGAGAGAAATGCTGAGGGCTTTTCTTGCACCCACCAGCTCCTGGCTACGTTGCCCTGGCTCAGGGGACACATCCCAGGATGAGGAGCCAGCATCCATCCTATCCCATCCCATCCCATCCCATCCCATCCTCACCAGGGAGGGGCTGGGAGAGCCGTGGGCTCCCTTTGGAGCCCCCTTCCTGCCTTTCACACCTTGGTTTCCCCACGCCAAGGAGCCCCGGCCCAAGGGACCAACATCATCTCTGTCCAGATTTACTTGGGGACATCAAATAGGTGAAAAACCAAACTGAGTGTCCTTGGCTACACAGAAGAGGAATCAGCCTGTGAAGTCTTTCAACAAAGGGTAGAGGCCAATGGACCAAACCAGCTCATTTCTCCCCTTCTCCATCAGCTGACAGCGTGGCCCTGCCTTATACCTCCCCAAAACTGCCACAGCTGAGATGCCGGTGGTGTTTTGGTGCCCCAGGTCTTCACCAAGGCTGGTCCCTGTGCAAGCCTGGGATGCTGTACGCTTCCCAGCTCCCAGTGCACGTATTCATTCCTGCCTGGAAGAGCCACCAAATGCTAGTGATGTAGGAACTGCCCTCAGCTTTGCCTCTAAAGGGTCTGGGGCCACAACCCGATGCTGTACACACAATGCTTGTATGGTACAATTTGAGAGCCTCCCTGCAAGCCCTTCTCTCCCATCCCTCAGGGCTGCCAAGGGACGTTTTCTGGTAGCACCATCACCTCATTCCCAGGTTGGTTTGGGAGCCACAGCCCTTCCACCATCACTTCTGCAGAGGCGGAGAGCGTTCAGCTGTTCAGCTTCAGCACTGCCAATATTCATCTCAAATTAATTCTCCTCTTTGTAGTGACTTTGATGCGTTAGTGTCCTTCTCAGGACCGAGGTGTGCGTGGGTGAGAGCGGCGTCCCTCCGGCACGGGCAGTTTCGGGATGAAGCGCACTAGATGGTGCTGTTCAACCTTTGCCTGCGATTTGAAAGGACCCTGCAAGGTCATAACTGGTTCCCAATTTCGGTTTTATGAAAAAAAATCACCCACAAACCAACACACCCCAACCTTTCCGAAACTGGAGGACAAATAGAAATGTCCTGAAGTGTGAGGTCCCGCACCGATGGCTGGCGGAGGCGAAGGGCAGCTCGCCCTTCCATTTCTGAGGCAGCAGTCGGGGTTTGGCTGCGTGAGCAGCCACGGCAGAAGGGGCTGCCAAGAAAAACAGATCCCAGGGTAGAAGAGGAGGCTGATAGCTCTCTCTCGGACCGCTGGCAAGATGACACTTGCAGGGCAGGAGGGAGAAAATGTATTAGCAGTCAAGATAAAAGCATTAGCATCGTGGCACCGGGAACCGAGGGCACCCTGAAGAGCCCAGCGGGGACGAGGCACCCGCAGCCCATGGGCACCAGTGCAGAGGTGACAAGCGAGTGGAGCCACAGGACATGGCTGGTACGAAGGCAAAGGAGGGAAGCAGCCAGGGCTACGGCTGGGCTGGGAGCTGGGAGGCAGCTCCTGTCCCACCAGGCCACGAGGGATGGAGAACCTCCCTGTGTGGGCAGTGAGGATGCCCACAGGGAGCCGTGCCAGGGGCTGGGGACCAGAGCTGCAGCGGGAGATGCTGGTTGTAGCCCCCCCAGCATCCCTTCTTGCAGGAGGCACTGGTCTAAAGATATTTCCCCACTGGTGTCAGCTCCCCAAAGCATCCACGGAGCAGCAGGAGCAGCTTTCCCATGGTGCAGGTCCCGTGGGCAGCCTGAGCCATAACTCCTTTGGATTCCCCACCTCAAAAGGGGAAAACACACCCAAATTTGTCACCTTGCCTTGGATTTGCTTCAGTGCTGGGCAGAAAGGATGAAGCACTGTTTGGAGACCAAGCTCATGCCTTGTTGCTCAGAGGCTACTCTTTCCTAAAGCCAGGCAGGTGGGAAGGCTGTGGGGCTCAGCTGCTCTGGGCACTGAGGTCCTTCCCCTCCAGCAAAATCATCCCAGTTTCCCAGTCTGCACCCGTTCTCACTTGGGTGCTCGCTTGCAAATTCCCAGGGTGATGCCGGGGGTCCCCGGGGCTCCCCCCTCCCAGATGCAGGGCTGGAGCAGGCGGATGGGGCAAAGGTTTTACTGCTCACATCAAAAATAAGAAAAGGGCCAGACAGGGTGACCTCCTTCCAGGAACGTAAGGGCAGGAGGCACAGGGCCAGCTCAGGCAGCAGTTTTGGCAACTGCCCACCTTTGCCCATGGTGGTGCAGTTGCCTGTTTGGCAGAGGGAAGCCCATGACGCGTTACCCACAGCCCCTGCAGTGTCTTGCCCATGGTGGTGCAGTTGCCTGTTTGGCAGAGGGAAGCCCACGGGGCTTTACCCACAGCCCCTGCAGTGTCCTGGCCCTGGCACCCCAGCCTGTCCTCCCCAGGGTCTCCTTCTGCCTTCACCCCTCTTGGTGTTTCCTCTTGTTTCTGCCCTGGCATCAGTCTCCTCCCCCCAGCTCTGCTTTGCCATCCCTGTGTTTCCTCTTGTTTCTGCCCTGGCATCAGCGCCCAGCTCTGCTTTGCCATCCCCTGCTGGATTACAGAACCTCTAAATCTGGTATTTCCCCCCAAAAAAGATTACAAGCTCATGGCATGCCCTGGGAGGCTGCTCCAGATCACCCGATAACCAGCCAGCTATTTCTCTCGCCCCGTGATGATACCTTAGGGTAGCTGCAGCCTCCTGCTAGAAAATAATCTGTAATTGATTAACTGCCTAATGATGCTCTAGGGGTTGCAAGAAACCTGCGGCAAAAGCTATGGGACTGAGGCTACAAGCAAGATTTAAGGTTAAAATTCAAGTCCTTAAACATTGAAAACACCTGGGCAGGGATCTATCTTCTTCTGGGAACTCACCTAGCACGGTGGGCAACCACAGAGCCCATCCCTGCCGGGTGGCAAGGGTGCAGCCTGGGCAAGTGCAAGCCCCTACCCTGCTGCTCTGGGCCATGGCACAGGAGCCAACGCCAGGACCTTAGTGTTCCCCCAAGCCCTGTGCCACTTTTGAGGAAGAGTTGCCCATCTCCAGCAGCACAAAGGGAGGTTGCTGGACCCCTGCTGGATCCCAGACCCCGTGATACCTCTGGTTTTGATCAACTGGCTCTGCCAAAAGCCATCACATGCACGCTCAGGCAGCATCACCAACGCCTGATGCTCCTCATCACCGGCCGGTGAAGGTGGGCACCCCAGGCAATGTCCCACCCCACGCGCCTTCCTGCACCCACCTTTGGGGTCCACTCCAGACCTGCGCCCCGCACGCCTGCCTCTCCATGCTCCAGACCACCAGGCTCGCTGCTCCTTTCGGGGGGCCGGGGGTGGGACACCGTCCAGGCACGTCCCAGCAACACAACTCTGCAGAGAAAAAAGATGTCAGCTCGTCCCTGCTGAGACCACCCTGCCCAGGAGATGCTTGCAGGGCAGTCAGGGACATGATGTGGTTCCCGCTCGCAGGATGGGCTCCTGCTCCCATGGTCCTGAAGGATACCTTCATATCTTGGCTCTCCATGAGATGGAGATGCCTGGAGTGGGCTCCACTCTGCCCTGAGCCATACTGGGACTGTCCCATCCCTGAGGATGAGGGCTCTGGAGCAGTTACCTCTACAAAAATGGTCCCACCTTACAGAGCTGGGATGGAGCAAGAGCATCAGGGGGACATTTCTGTCCCTGGTCCCCAAGCCCCATGGCAGACCCAGGGCTCACCCACCTGGCCCAGGGCATCGCCTGGTTGCCCTCTGCGGCTGCTTCTCTGGTGTCCTTCTGGCGGGACAGGACAAGGTGGGCACGCGGTGGGCACCATCCCTGGGGAGAAACGTGGGGTCTGGCTGGTGGCTACGTTGAGGCAGCTGGTCCCTGCTGGCGGGGCTGTCCCAGAACAGCCCATGCTAATTCAGCCCGTTTGATCCTGGTGGGAGAGGGGGATCTCCTTTATCCAGCCATCAGTGATCCCAACCAGCTGGGCTACTGCGGGTAAGGGAAGGCCGATGGTTTGATCCTGGTGGGAGAGGGGGATCTCCTTCATCCAGCCATCAGTGATCCCAACCTGGGCTACTGGGGGTAAGGGAAGGCCAATGCCAAGAGCACTGCTGGAAGTATCCGTTGCTCTGCTCTTGTAGATCTGTTTTGCAACACCAGCAAGAGCACTGCTGGAAGTATCCGTTGCTCTGCTCTCGTAGATCTGTTTTGCAAGATCTTCTGACTTAGATACGGTCACTGGCCTGGCTGGTGAAAGCAAGCTCAGCGATGCCTTCATGTCTGTCCTACAGCCTTGCAGAATTCCAGCCTGAGTGCTTTGACATGATCCCTGCCAACAATCCAGCTTGGAGAGTGAGTGCTTGTCCCCAGGACTCCTGGCCCACCTGTACGGGAGGGTCAGCTCTGCCACGGAGCCGGCAAAAAGTTCTGTGATAAATAAGGTCTGTTGACCATGTTTCAGCCAGGATTTGGTGACCAGCTGGTGGCCAGTTGGATGCATGCTGCTGGTTTTTCAGTTCATGCCTGGTTCAAGGCTTGCTGACAGTGCATCTGCTTTGGACGAGGTTCTTCCCAGAGATGTGGAAGATGGTCAACAAGCTCTCTATCACGCAATTTCGATTTACTGCGAGTCCACCTAGTGGCCCATGGGCTTATGGTCAGCTTTGCTGGATAGTGTGAGGCTTGTGAGAACATCTCAGAAACCCTAATGCACCCAGGACAAGCTCTGGGAATCATTTTACCTGTGCATGTACCTGACAGGTACAGTTCAGATCTCAACTTGCCATTGTCCTTCTCCAGGAGAGCTCCCAGCCCAGCAGCTGAGGTTGTGGCTGGTTTGTTCAGGTCCAAAACCTCAACCTGCCATTGTCCTTCTCCAGGAGAGCTCCCAGCCCAGGAAGGGACAACAGCAGCTGAGGTTGTGGTTGGTTTGTTCAGGTCCAAAACTCAGCCAGACCTGGGTTGGGCAAAGAGTCCTTGTGACCACACAAGCGAGGGAAGCCCCATGGCATTTTCACCCCTTATTTCTCCTGCAGAGGTCTGCCTCATGCTTCTCAGACAGGATAACCCCAGATGCTCCTCTGAGAGATGCCATGCCCCAGAGAAGTGTTGGCTCTGAGTGCTCAGGCAGGCCAGCAACCAGGCTGGGAAGCCCTTTGCAGCTAATTGCTGGCAGGGTGGCCATGATCATGGGAAGCCACAACCTGCCAGCCAGAGCCCTTGCTGGGCTCTTCTGTGGTGCGACACACTGCACCAAGGGACCAGGTCTGCTCCAGACCAGGGGGACAAACCAGCCCCAGCTGGGGGACCCCTAGTCCTGGCAAGATACTTCTGGGAGCCCTCAGCTCTTTCAGCTCTCTCGTAATGCAGCCACAGACCCTCCAGGATCTCTCCATACACCTGCTGGGACTCCAGCCTCTACCATCCCCCTTCCTGGCTTCCCAGCAGCACCTCCAAAACCTCCAGCTTCAGGTGGGGGTTCCCCTCCTTTGCCATCTCTCCCCTGAGGTGACCCTTCCTCAGAGCAGCCATCCTGGTACCCATCTCCCCAGCGTTGGCCAACCCTCCTAGCTGAGCTGGTGGACAGGACCACACGCTGCCGTGTCACCACATCCAACTGGGACAGCCTGGGTTTGGCACAGGCAAGTCCTGGAGCCCCTCCACCACCGGTGACCTCCCCGAGGGCTCCACCACTTCTGGAAAAGGAGGTTTCTCTGCAGGGTTCCTCTTCCACGGTGGGAGTGAGGTCCTAGGAAGAGCACCAGGAAAGGCTCTGCACTGACAGTTGCCAGCTGAAGTCCTGATCAGCTGAGCCAAGATGCTGGACCCAGCCCAGCAGTGACCCTGGGGTTTACCTGCTTCCTTCTGCAGGGAAGAGCAAAACCACATGGAGATGTGGTAAGGAGGAGGGCCTTCTGGTGCACCACCTCTGCTGTGGCTGGAGATCTGCAGACCCGCTGGAGACACCCAAGTGTGCTGGGTTGGTGGGGCTGTGGCAATGGGAGGATGCTGCATGGAGAGGTGGCTGGTGCAGGATCTGCTGCTCCTCGTTAGCAAATGGATGCTGTGCTGAGCCACAGCTGAGGAGCTGGGGGTGCTCAGCAAGTACCATTTATTCATGCTCTGGTGGAAGAATCTCCAAACACTTCTGCTGCTTCAGCTGCCCCAGCATAAGCCCAGCTCAGGAGATCATCTTGTTGTTGACTCATCTCAAGGCTTTCCAGCATCAAGGTGTGGAGAATATCAGAGTTATCCTGACACAGAACTGGAGAAAATTCTGAGAAAATTATTCACTTTGAGAGGAAACTCAAAGAAGTGGAGGGTGCCTCTGTCTTTAGAGGGATCCAACACGTGCTCCCCAGCCAGGACAAAGCTTCCCTGGTGCTGGATGTCAGCCATGAGATTCCCTGTCCCCTTCTGCCAGCACTTCTGGGACTGTCAGTGGCCCTTTTCCACTTGTGCTTAGCACTTTGTAGCTCTCTTCCCTGGGTGTGAAAGTCCAGGCTGCCTCCCCCCTAAAATCCCCTCACCTTCCCACACCAGAGTGGGCAGGTGAATGGTGGCAGAGCCTAGTCCTCTCTGGGACAGGATGACTGGGAGCTGAGGAGACATGGGCTAAGGATCGTGAACATCCCACAGTCCTCTCCTTCCCTGGGGAGGAGAAAGCAAGAACTGCTCAACAGAGACAAAAGCGTCAGCCTGGGCAGGTGTCTCGAGCTTTGCTGTGTCCCATCTCCTGCAGGCACCAAGCCTTGGACCATCTTCCGTAAAGTGGTGCTGCTTCAGCCCCTGTCCCCATCAGGACACAGAGACTGCTGCCATCCCCTGGGCTGGAGGGGCTGCAGGGCTGGAGCCACCTTCTGGTGTCCAGCCTGCCCATTTGCAGCCATTTCACACCACTTGTGCTCACCCCAGTCATTTCCTTCAGCCTACACAGCTCTTCTGCCCCGTGGTGGGAGCAGAGAGGATCCCCGCAGCCTCAGCTTTTCTGACCATAGTGTACTCCCCTGCTCTGCTCCCAGAGGGTATATTTCCCCACTGTGACCGTCCTGCTGGGTCATTAATAGCTTATTAACGCTTCTCCTCTGCCAGAAGTCCTTCAATGCCCAAATGTTTGCTGGCGTGGAGAACCCATGGCTGGCAAACATGAGCAAATCAGGCCTCACACTGTGTTTCATCCTCATCCTTTGTAGTTACAATTGGCCAAAGCACAAGAAATTGTGTGGTGGTGGATGTACAATACCAAATCTTGCCAGACCTTGGACTTAGCACCTTCCTGCAGCAGCAGCTTCCACAGTGTGCCAAGGACGTGTTGTGTAGAACATATCTCACAGATGAAGCTGAGAGGGACTTTGATTAGTCTTCTCTGACCCTCCCAGGGCCATGAGGTGTGGTGAACATCCGTGGGCTGTGTCTGGAGATGACTGTCTTGTGGGCAGCCATCCCACACCAACCCTGCTGCAAGCCATCCCAGCCCACCTGAGCCTTCTCCTGCAGCGGGACATGGAGTGGAGGTGCCTGCAGAGGAGGTCCATGGCTCCCTTTTCCCAATGGAGAGATATGTCAGAGGTCCACCTTTAACTCAACCTATTTACTTCAGTCTCGCATTCACCAGCTGCCCAGAGCCTGGCACCTCTGCAGCCCCTGCCATTAAATTTCAGCCTGATGAAAACAGATGATTTAGCCTGAATTCTCATCCTGTGTCTCCCAGGTGGTTTGCGCTCCTGGAGTGTTGGTCTGGCCTGGCACCTCCTGCACTGGACGGACCAGGCAGAGCAGCCAGGAGTTCTGGGGATGCCTTGGCAATGACATCAAGGGCAGCAAGTCTCCGTGAGCCTCCATTGCACTCCAGCCTATGGAAGGGTGGCTGCTTTCACAGGTGGAATCCACATCCCTGACCCCAGCCCTCAGCTCCTTTGGTGGATCTCAGGATGGACCATCCAGGGCTGTTTACTCACAGCTTTGTGCTTAATCACTCTGGATGTGGATCCATTCCCAGCAGAAGCTTTTGAGCCTTGGCCAAGTTGATCAGTTTGAAGAAGGTTGTAGTTCTGGAGGACTCCAAGTACCTGCGAGCGTGGTGAAGGTGGAAAAGCTTGACCTGGGGCTTGCAGTACCGACCAAGCCCCTTGGAGGTCGTTTCGTCCCTGGGTCACTTGCTCCAGTCAGCACCCAATGGCTGAACACCCTGTGCCCACCTCAGGGAGCATCTGGGGGGGTAGCAATCCCCCTTCCACAGGAGAGGGCTCCTATTCTCTACTATCCCTTGTCATGAGGTCCAAACCCTGGGCAAGCCCTCTGGGCTCTTTGAAACAAGTCCTTTTGGTCCCTCCATTGCTGTGTCTCCTTTCCATGGTCTTACTGAAGATCAGGCACTGAGTTACCCATGGTGGAAATAAGGACGTTTTTGACTCAATGGAATCCTGGGATTCCATTTCGACTCATTAAGCTGCTGAGCAAGCTCACCGCCTCCAGAGACCCTGGTTTTTTGCTCTGCAGAGATCTCCACTGGCTCAACCCCATCCTCATCCCATGGCCACCAGCGCTTGTCCAGCCAGGTGTTTCACAGCTGTTTTCAATCACCAGCTCAGCCCATGGACCCAGCCTGACCGTCTGTCCTCTCCTGCCCCCTCTGTGGACCAGTTGTGGGCCCTCGCCCAGCCCTGCCCCAAGGGAGCCCATTGCTCGGGACAGGCCATACCTGAAGGAGCTGGGTGGCCAGTGTCCCCTGCTCATCCCCAGCATCCACAGCTTGCAGGTGCCACCTCGATCCATCTCAGCAAGGTCCCACCAGCTCCCACCTGAACACCCTGCATTGGCCGGGCTGTGGCCACATGGTCCTTGCTCACGTCCCACCCACCCTTTACCACTGTTGGGTTTTGTTTGGTTTCAGGTTCCTCAGCTCTGGTCTCTGCTTCCCCAGGTTTGGAGGACAAGGTCTACCCACTCACCACACTCCACCTCGTGGTCCTGGCCCTCTGCAGCTCTTTCCTCGCATCAGTTTTATCCCATGTCCTTGTGGAAAGGTGACTCCCCCCATCCCAGGGCAACGGCACCATCCCAGGGTAGATCCTGGGAGGCCCTGGAGGCCCAGGATGGCTGTTTATGGGGGGAGCCACCCCAGCTGTGCCCCACTGCCAGCTCCCGGAGCTTGTCCCCATCAGAACCATCACCCCAAAACCAGGCACAGGCCAAACCTTCCCTTGCAGCCTTCTCTGCCACCAGCGCTGCCCCGGGGGGGAAGGCGAAGGTCCCAGTGGGGTCCCAGCAGGTTTTTGGGACCAGCCGACGCTGGGAACATCCCTGGCCTCTTTGTGCTGCCCCTGGTAAGCGGCGCAGTGCAAATATCAGCCGGGTTCTTTGAAATGAAAAGAAAACTGATAAAAGTCGGGCAAATCCTCCGCCCCGGCCCCCTCCGCTGGCCCGAGCGGTGGCTCTTTCTGCTGCCGAGGCGGCTCCCGCAGTTATAAATACATTATGTATGCCGGTGTCCGTCGGCCAGAGCCTTTTGTTGATGCTGAATATGTCCTGGCCAACAAAAGTGGACTGGATTAGCCACAGTGGATTAAAAGATTTTCTTCTTAGAGTTTACCTAATAATATAACAATTGACATAGAAGGTCTCTTTGAACCCTACACGACTCTCTTATTTTACCATCTGTGAGTTTGCTCTCCATGCCGCTGACGGGGCGCCCGGCTGCCGGTGGTGCTGGTGGTGGGAACGCCGAATTTGTTGCCGAGCAGAAGAAAGCAGCCCGTATTTGAAGGGAGGCAGCGGGAAGGGAAAAGTGGCACAACTTCTGTCCTCCCGCCTTTGTCCTCGGCCCTTCTGCCGGTGGCCTGGCGATGCCGCGGCGTGGGGAGGGAAGAGACCCAAGGAGTGGGCTCGAGCCATGGGGAAGCCGCCTACTCATCTGCAATGCGAGGTGTCCGGAGAGGTCCCGGCTGGAATGAGCTCCTTTATTAATCACCAATTTTGGGGGAGAGTTGCCGAACTGCCAGCCCATGGAGTTTGGTCGTCTCGCTTTCAGCAGCCATTGGGCTCCGGCCGCCGCCGTCCCCGGTCTCCATTGCAAGATGGGTCGGGCAGCGGCAGCAGCGACACCGGGAAACATGGAGGGCAGCGGCAGCAGGGGAGGAAGGCTCCCCCCCACCATCCTGCGGCGCCGCCGCCGCTCGCCCCCTCCTCCGGCACACCCCGGCGTCCCGGCCCTCGGGCTTTGATCTCATACAGGGGGGGCTCCATTCACGAGTCTTTCATCGCAGCCTTTGGAAATACCCGTCCTCAGAAGTCGCCAGTAATGAGATGGGGAGAAGACGAGCAATTTAGGCGCCGCTCTTTCTCGCTTGCGTTTTTTCCTTAATCTCCATCTCCTCCCTCATATATTTTTTTTTTTCTCTCTTTTTTTTTTTTTTTTTTTTTTTTTTTTTTTTTTTTTCCCCTGGGAAGTGAGGAAATGCTAATGAAATAGCTGAAGTTTGTCAGGCTGGAGCAGGCACCACTGCCATGTATCTGTGAGGTGACTGTGAAAGCTTTTGAGGGATTTTTTTCTCAATCCCCCCCCCCCCCCTTTTTTTTTTTTTTTTTTCCCTTTTTTTTTTTTTTTTTTTTTGGGGCAAAGACACTTCTGGAGCGGCGCCGACTTTGTGTGGGATCACGGCATCACCCCAGACCTACTGGGGAGGAGGGGGGAGCAGGAATATGGGGGCTCGCGCCTCTCAGCCGGGGGCCTTTGATGAAGCTGCTTTGCGAAATTTGATTTGAAAGGCCTACGATGGCAATTTGGGGAGAATGGTGGAGCCTTTCTCCAACCCGCCTCTCTTTGTCTCTGGCCCGAAAGGGGGGTTTCATTGTGGGTGCCGGGGTGGGTGGGGTGGGGCGGCGGAGGGGACCGCGGCGCGGGAGAACAATAAGCCAGGAGATGGGGAGAGTTGGGATTTCTCACCTGCCCGGGCGTTCGCAGTCCGCCATGACGGGAGCAGCCGCCCTGCTTCACCGCCGCCGTCCGGAGCACTTTTTTTCCCCAGACTCTTGAACCTATTTTCCCTTTCTTGGCAAGTGCGTGGCTGGAAGATGGGAATCTTTACTTTATATTGCAGCTTGGGCTTCCCAGCCTGATTGGCTGCGGCCAGGACCAAATGCTGGTCCTTCCATCCCATCGTCACTATGGCAACCGGCCCCGTTAGGCACCACCGATTTACTTATAATTGCTGGGTAAATAGTCAAGACAGGCCGCTTTCATCCCACACCGAGAGATTGCTCTTCCTCGTCACCCTTTTTTTCCCCCCTTTTTTTTTTTTTTTTTTTTGAGGAGGAGGAAGCCCTAAAGAGCAGCAACACTCAAGGAAAACTCTTTGAAGGCAGTTGCGGGAAGCGCTGCCTCCCCCCGGCCAGCCTTTCCCCACCGCACAATGCCTCCATGCCGGGGCTTTCCTGCACCATCATCATCCTCCTCCAAGGAGCGGCGCTGGGTGGGGATGCAGGATGCAAGGGTCTGGCCATGATGGGCTCTTGCCACCAGCTGCCAGCCACCGCTTCTGCCTTTCATGGGGATTTCACACCCGTTCATCCAGAGCGCCAGGATGGGGCCGAACGGTCCTCCATCACCCTCCTTCCCCACTGCTGCCATTAAGCAATCCATGTTCCCAGCACGTCGGGGTTCTGCCTGGCTCTGCCGGTCCTTTCCCCGGCTCCATGGGACCCACCAGCAGCGTTGGCCAGGATGGGACAACTCGTACCTCCAGCCCCGGCCATGCTCATCCCTGGAGGAGGGGATGCTGGGCACCCTCTCTACCCGACCACCTTTGTGCAGAGCAGCTCCTTGCTGGCTCCACAAGGCTCGGAGCCTCTCGTTACTCCTGGAGGGTGTTTATCGATGATGGACAGAGCGATACGCTCAGGTCTTGTCACCAGATCAGGGTTTGGGCTTGTGGCTGGGTGGGTCCCGCAGGCGAGAGGCAGGTGGGAGCAGGTCCCAGCCCCATCCTCACGGTCCAGGGATGGACACTGCAACCAGAGAGTAGCAAACGAGTGCCCAGCCCAGCCTCACCAGCTGAGACATCTACAAAGGACCCACAGGGTTCTTCTGTCCCCACCGGTCACTGCGGGCACCAAGCAATTCCAGGAAAATGAGGAAAAAAGGGGTCTTGGGGAGAATCTAAAGGCTGGAGAGGGAGAGACCCTGGGAAAATGTAGAGTTCATGGGCAGCAAGGTGAGAGAGAAGCAAAGTAGGCTTGAGGGAAAGGGAAAGGAATGCAAGGTCATCTTCCCATTCCCTCCTCACAGCCATCCAGAGGGAGGAGTCCATCAGGGTGGCCACAGGAGGAGCACTGGGAGATGCTGCCCGAGCTCCTTGCTTCTGTGGAAGAACCGGGAACTTGCTGGGGACCACAGATGACAACATGAAACCAGCTGAGGAGGAAGCACCAAGGAGCCATGGAGCTAGGAGGCATCTCCAGGGCTTCTGAAGGAACTGGAGGATGAACCAGCTGATCCTGAAACAGCTGGTTTCAAACCTCCCTGCTCCTGGAAAGTGCATTCTGGGGCCTGGTAGATGCAATAACAATTTTCCTTTTCACATATTACAGTGAGAGCCAGGAAAGGGCAGGACAATCTCTCTGACATCTGTACCAGCCGGTTGGCAGAGACGCTCCTTAGAACGCACTTGGTGGGCACCTGAGTAAACACACCCTTCCTGGGAGCGGGGACAACTTGTTAAGGGGAGCCTGTCTCCTGATGGCAGCCAGCTTGGAAGGTGTCAGCGGCAACTCATGGGGGTGGTGCACAAGATACAGCCCTCTTGGGTGGGCAAAGGGCTGGTGACAGTGTTGTCACCAACACACACGACTTCCAGGGAAGCGGAGCAGCCTGGGGAGAGGAGCTGGCTGGTGCCCAGAGCAGTCCCTGCCAATGTAGCTGGTCCCGGTGCCGTGCCAGCCGGGCAAACAGCCTGCCCGGGGCCAGGAGCCAGCCTGCTCCAGGCTCTGCAAGGCACGGAGAGATTCAGGAGCCCTGCAAGGCACAGGGCAGTGTGGCCAGGACAGGTCAGGACAGTGGGGCCAGGAGCTTCAGCACAGCCTGGGGGCTGCTGTCCTGCTGTGGGTCCCACCACGCTCTGGTCCTGCCTGGGGTTGCTCTCCCTCTTGCTCTTTCTCTCTTTTAAAAGCAGCTTCTCTGCAAAGTTCTTTGGGGCTTGGCTGAAAGAGGATGGCTCCCATTCTGCTGAAGACAAACTGGTCCCTCTCCAGGTCCCTGTGGACCAGGAACCTCCTGCCTGTGGCTGGGGACCGGGGCGCTGAGGCCATGGAGCCCAACCGGCTGCGCTGCCCTCCCGAGCATCCTCCGGCGGTTCCCATGGTAACGCCCCGGCTCACGGGTTCCCGAGCCCACACGGCTTTAGCCACACGCCATCACGGCTTTAGCCACACGTGCCCACCACCCCAGCTCCCCTGCCAAGGTCTTGGCACCCTCCATCCTCTCCTCGCGCCGCTGCCGTCCCCTCTTGCCACCTGGGACCTCCTGTCCCCCCTGCAAGGGACCCACCATCTTGCACTCTGCTATGGAGAGCCACTCCACAAGCCACGCCCCTACAAAAGTACCTTCCCCAGAGCCCCACAGAGGCCCTAATTCTCCTTTTTCTGCAACATATCTGACAGAAAACAGGGAAAAACGGGTAAGAGGCGAGAGGAGCACAACATTCATGGAGGAGAGGGAGCTGAGCAGACAAGCGGGTCCATGTACGGGTGACTTCTTACCTTCACACCCCAAGAGGTCCCAGCTCTGCACATCCCAGGACCACTTGGCCGGGCAGAAGCCTGCTAGCCCACTGCCTGCATCCAAGGAGGCTTCCCCAGTTTTGGTGCTGGTGCCCAGCTCCGGTCCCACGCTTTAAAATCACTGGTAGATGAAACTGTCACAAAAAGAAAAGGCCACAGCTAATGATTTCCAGAGGAAAAGCCTTGCAGCAAGACTTGATCCTCAGTGTAACCTCTCGATCTATTTGACAATGTGAGAAAGAGGAGAAAATGCCAGAAAATACCAGAGGGGAAAACACCAAGGTGAAGTCTTGCTCTGGGAGCCAGAGTGTGACAAGGCTCAATTCCCAGAGTTGGAGCAAGGCAGCTTAAAGTTAGGATTAAGGACTTTCCACCTCTTGAAACCTCCCAAATCCACACACAGCTTTCAGGAGGGAGGATTAAACCAAGCCCAGGTCCTTGACCAGCCTCAGAAGTTGATGGACAACACCCTAAGGAATAAAAGGAGCAGACACATGGATAGCGATGGGCTACTGGGGCAGAGTCACCCCACGTCCTGCTGGGCAGGTGAGACCCAGCTGGGAAAGTCCACCTGGATCTCAAGAGACACTCAAGAGGGGTCCATATCAAGGGCACTCAAGGAAATTAAGACGCCTTGGAATGAGTGGGCAAGTTCTCATGTGAATAAATACCTGGTTATAACACCAAGTGGGCATTCTGCAGTGGTGTGAAGGGCAGGGTGACCCCCAGGGGCTCTCTGCACAGCCCAGAGCTCCTCCAGCAGCTGGGGAAAGGGAGGTGACCAGCTTCACTGATGACACCTGGTTGATCAGGGCAAGAAGCTGAGGGCTGGCCAGGAGGAGCTGCAAAAGCATCTTACAGGACTGCCTGGAGGATTAAAGAGCAGGTATATAAAAGCACACAGGGGAAAACCCAGCCTGAGTGTGCACCACCGAGCTGTCCTTGCAAAAAGGAACAGGCTGCTTCTTACAGGGATGAAGAATCCAGTGATTCTACGGATCACCAGCACGGTGCTGGATGGCTCTGACCTCTGGGGTGAGGAGGCAGCTCCACCAAATGCCTACTCCATCCCTCATACTGGTCCTGAGCTGCTTCGAACCCCGAGGTCGGCTGGATTTTCACATCCCATCCCAGGGAAAAGCTCTGCTGGTCCCAGCTCCATGCCAGGAGCGCTGCTGGAGAAGCCCACTCTGTGGCTGCTCCCTTTTCCCACCCCGCAGGCTCCCTCCACCACCTTCACCCCAGCTTGGGACGTGCATCCCTGGGGACACGGGGTCCTGCGAGGACCCTCTCCCACCAGCTGCAGCCCTGGGTACCTGGATGCCCCGTGAGCAAAGCCCTGCTCATGTCTCAGAAATGCCATTTTCTGCGACTGTCAGAGTGCTCTAACTGGCCTGAAACAGCTCCATTTTCAGCGTTACCATGGCGATGGCTGCCTGGAAAACGTGTGCAATGGCGATGCACATGGATGGAAGGCAGAGTCCAGCCAGGCAGAGGTGCCTGTGGCCAGTCCCCAGCTGGCACGGCCACCCCTTGTGCTCCCCTCAGCCTTTCCTCCTGCAGCCGAGGAGCCCAATTTGAGCCCGTGACGTGCTGCAGGAGCTGTGGATGGAGGTAACTCCACACTCCCACCCATGCTCCACGTGCCCAGCACCCCTGGTCCAGCATCCCCTTCCAGCTCAGCCCCTAGCTGTAGGAGAGACTGCAGCAGGAACTGCCAGGAGAAGGTGCTTTGGGCAATTAATGTATTTGCATATGTAGATTTTATGAGGGTTTTATTTTTTTTCCTTATGACTCCTTACTGCAAAATCTATGCTCCCCCTGAGATCTGCCCATGTCCCTCTCCAGCCAGGATCCTGCTCCAGGCCACAAGCTGGTTTCACCCTCTGAGCCCGGGGGCTGTGGCGCAGGACACCATCAGGCCCACCAGCTTTGCTGTGACGGGACCTGCCATGCCATCTCCCACCTCTTCCCCTCCAGGGCTGGGGCAGCTGGCCAGGACGAGCAGCACATCAGGAACCAGCAGGTCTGGGAAACCCAGCAGTCACCCATGGAGAGCCACCAGGGCCTTCTGCTGGGCATGGCCAACACGCACCCAAGGCCAACACCAGGAATGCTCATGCAGAGCCAGGCTGTTGTCCACTGCTCCATGGGACCGGGTTCCTGGTGACCCAGGATGCGGCCAACAGCTCCACCGCACCATCCCTGTCTGCAGCCACTTCTGGAGGTGGTAGCTTCATGCATGAGGAACTTTCTTGGGTGGATGGGAGAAGAAGGAGCACAGCACATGGCTGCA